TGTGGCGAGGTCTCTCTAGCACATTTTCAATATAATTCATATGTTGCAATGACAAAGAAAAAATTATTGAATTGAAGAAATGATGCTAAAAATCAAACTTAATTCTTAATCTCAAATTATTTATCTCAAACTATTTGAGGAAATAATTCCCAAAATTCCAAATCGCAGCAATTTTGATTCTGATTTTGTACACAAGGTCAGCACCCGTGCAGAACAGAAACTGTAACTAGATGTCACTTTGAGTTGTTTGAGGAATTTATCTCCCGATTTTTTTTTTAACTTATGTTCTAAAATAATGTAATCAACCAAACTTTCTCGCATGCCGAAATGTGGGCCATAGTCAAAGTCTATATAAACGCAGCCAAGTTTAAATAGGAAAATGCTAAACTTGCTTGGAATGTCTTTTCGTAAAGATGCTTAAGGTGTCTTTTCGCAACCAGATAAGCGATCAGTTTTCTTGCCTAATAAGTCCTTGAAAGCTGCTTTCATATGCTTCTGCTCAAAATTAGTTGTGGGCCACGCTCAGAAAATTTCAGCACCTTAGCTGCCTTTTGTACAAAATCGTCAGTTTAATACCACTACTTCACATTTCCATCGCCCCAACTCTGCTGACCCTCTTGTTCCTCCGTCTCGTTTACTGTATTCCCCTGCCGATCTTCATCTATATAACCTCCATTCACACATAGTCCTTTTCTTTCTCATTCCTTTTTCCCTATGAACTTTACACAGTTTCAGAAATCCCTACCCCCATGTCCCGAATGCCGCTTTTTAAAATCTTTTTTTGCTGGGCATCTCTCTTTATTTAAAAATTTTTTTTTTTTAATACAAATCATGCCTCTTCTAGTACCACTTATTGCTCCACTTCATCTTCGAATTGCCACACAAAGCTCGATTTTACGTGAACCCGCAATTATGAAAGGAAAACCAAGTGAAAAGCCAAGCGATGAACATGTTATCAACAAACAATTTCCGGTATTACATTCTTCAGGCAAAGTTTGGGATATGGTGCAAATAAACTCAATTCATAGGTGGCAGTTTGCTCCGAATCGGCACCATGTACCAAATTGCGTGTATCGGAAAGTGCGTAACGAGCTCGCAAACAATCACGATTCTGGGGCTGCAGTGTGCGCAACATCTTCGATGGCCCTGCCAATGCTCGCCAACGTTCGATCGCACTCCCCGATGAGCAGCGAAGTTCCATCACTATCACCGGACCGCTGAAACTCAGTAGCTTTACAAAGTTCTATATAGTTAAAACTGCAATTAGCTTGCTTCCAATCAATTTTCGCTTAGAAGCCATCGACGGTCTTGCTACCGAGGTCGAGAATTTTGACGACGTACTGTTACATCGGGCTATTTCCGAGTATCTCTATTACGTATAAGAAATGAGGAGAGAAAAAAGGCTCGACAGAAGTGAGGTACGGGGACGATCTTGAAATTATTTCTGTCTCGACCAGGAAGTAAACATGCGCCACAGTCTGCAGCTGGAGGTTACTGTGAGTCACCAAAACATTTGATGAGGCAAAAAGCAAAGTACAAACGAACTCGGAATATTTGTTCGAAGATGCCTGAAACTAAATAACCTA